CTAATTGGTGGTGGTTGTTGTCAGTCTTGTCCCCTAAACTCATCTTATTGCAATATAGGTGATTGTTTTTCAACTGCTGCCAAGAACCAAAATATTCAGTTGTACAAAATAAGATACGTTGTAACCTAATTAGATACAGGAATATCAACTGTTTTCTCAGATTACCTCCAAACATAATGCTATAATCATTTATTAACATTCCCTGTTCCTGTGAGTCAGGAATTCTCAAGCTGCTTGGTTAGGTAGTTCTGGCTCAAATTCTTTTATGAGATTGTATGAACCTTATGAGCCTAACGCTTTAGTCTCTGCAAGCTTGAAAGCTCATGCTGGAGGATCTGGCTCAGGTTCTCTTACGAGGTTGTATTAGCCTTATGAGCCTAAGGCTTTAGTCTCTGCAAGCTTGAAAGCTCATGCTGGAGGATCTGGCTCAGGTTCTCTTACGAGGTTCTATGAGCCTTATGAGCCTAAGACTTTAGTCTCTGGAAGCTTGAAAGCTGATGCTGGAGGATCCCGTGTCTGGCAAGTTGAGGGTGGGTAGTTGGTTTTTCTGAACAAGGTTGCGTGACCCATGGCATGGTGGTTGGCTTTGTCCATAGTGACCAAGCCCAAGAGAGCAAGGCAGAAGCTGCACTGCCATTATGACTTAACTTTGGGTGTCACTTTTGTCATATTTTATTGGTGAAAAAGGCCAGTCTTGATTCTTTGCAGGAGGGGGGACTATACAAGGGTGTGCATACCCTCGTATCGTCCATGTATAGGCTGGGGATCATTGAGGGTCGTCTTAGAGGCTAGCTACCGTACTTTAAAAGGATATCTTTATTAACAGTTGACTTGAATTTTAAAAAAATTTTTTAGTATTTTTATTTTTAATTTTAATGAAGGAAAAAGTAAACATGTAAATGCTTGCTTTACTTTTGAATTTTATAAAAACAGATAATTACAGAGAAGTGCTGACATTTCTACTTTTCATAGGAAACTTGGAGAGAAGTCAAAGATGTAAAAAGGACAACTTTTAGAAAATGAGATTCATGAGGAAAGACTGATTAAGTTCACTTTAGTTAATGAAATGTGGAATTATGAAAAATTAAATATTAAGGAGAACCCTAATGAAATTATAAGAATAGAAAAAATAATTTACTCTTGGCCTGGCACAGCGGCTCACACCTGTAATCCCAGCACTTTGGGAGGCCGAGGCAGGCAGATCACTTGAGACCAGGAGTTCAAGACCAGCCTGGCCAACATAGTTGAAACCCTGTCTCTACTCAAAATACAAAAAAAATTTAGCCGGGTATGGTGGCATGTGCCTGTAGTCCCAGCCACTCAGGAGGCCGAGGCAGGAGAATTGCTTAAACCTGGGAGGTGGAAGGGGTTGCATTGAGCCCAGATGGCACCTCTGTACTGCAGCATGGGCCACAGAGTCAGACCCTGTGTCTCAAAAAAAAAAAGAAGAAAGAAAGAAAAGAATTTATTCTTACAAAATTAGTAATACTAATCATTAATAAGTGAAATGATCTAGTAAATAATTGGTCAGAGTCTTGTGGTACTAAACTTTTAAGGAGTCATAAGACTATCATAGACATTCTACTTAACTAATACTTTAGATTAGGGGTCAGTAACTGTGGCTTGTGGACCAAATCCAGCCTGCTGCCTGTTTTTGTAAATAAAGCTTTGTTGGAATGTAGCCATACTCGTTTGTTTATGTAATGTCTATGGCGACTTTCTCACTGTAGCAAAGTTGATAGTTTTGACAGACTGTTCAGTCCACAAGGCCTGAAATATTTACTATCTGGTCCTGCACAGAATAAATTTGTTGACCCCTGTTTCAGATATTAGACTTTTAAATTGTAGATTAGGTTTTGGAGTGTTTATGAGGTGCATAAATCCAAGGACAGTAGCGTGTAAGTCAACTTTAAACATAAGAGGGTACAATATTAATGTGGTTTTGATTTTTAAAGAAGGAAAGTCTTAATACTTAGAAGAGGGGTATATTATAGTAAGATTCACAAGAATGATGCTTCATTAGGTAAGACTTTGTTTATTAAGATACTTTATGCTTATTAAGGTAATTCCCCATGTTGGGAACACGTGAAACCAAGATTTTAAAAGCAAATAATGTTGATTAAATTAGGTTGCTGTGAGAAGGCAGTTTAACTTTTTAATCAATTTCTTACTTCAAGTGGAAAGTTAGGTATGAATTTTATACTTGGACATTTATTCTGATGTAGAGTTTTGATTTTTTTAATTTGTATGTAATCATAGGGTACAAGTGCAGTTTTACTACGTTGATATGTATTGCATTGTGGTAAAATCAGGGCCTTCAGCGTGCATCTATCACTGGAGCAACGCACATTGTACCCACCAGACAGCCTCCCAGCACATTGTACCTACCAAGCAACCTCGCGTTATCCACCCTTCTCCTACCCTCCCATCCATCTGAGGCCCTATATTAGACCATTCTTGCATTGCTATAAAGAAATATCTGAGGCTGGATAATTCATAAAGAAAAGAAGTTTAATTGGCTCATGGTTCTGCGAGGCTGTCCAAGCATGGTGCTGGCATTTACTCTGCTTCTGGGTAGGCCTCACAGAGCTTTTACTCATGGCAGAAAGCAAAGCGGGAGCAGCCATGTCACAGAGCCAGAGCTGGAGCTTTAAAAGAATGGCAGGAAGAGAGGTGCCTCACACTTTTAACAACCAGATCTCATGAGAACTCACTCACTGTTGCTACTACAGCGCCAAGCCATGAGGGATCCACCGCCATGATCCAAACACCTCCCACCAGGCTTCACCTCCAACCTTGGGGATTACATTTCAGCATGAGACTGGGGTAGAACAAATATCCAAACCGTGTCAGTCGCCATTGTCCTTCATTCCATACTCTGCTTCCATGTGTACACATTAGTTAGCTCCCACTTGTAAGTGAGAACTGCAGTGTTTGTCTTTTCTGTGTCTGAGTTGTTTCACTTAAGATAATGACCTCCAGTTCCATCCATGTTGCTGCAGAATACATGATTTTATTCTTTTTCATGACCGAATAGTATTCCATTGTGTATATGCACATTAACTATTCAGTCCTCCATTGATGGACAGTTAGATTGATTCCGTATCTTTGCTATTGTGAATGGTGCTACAATAAACATACAAATGCATGTATCTTTTTTATATAATGAATTCTTTTCCTTTGGATAGATACCCAGTAGTGGGATTGCTAGATTGCCTGGTAGTTCTATTTCTGGTTCATTGAGAAATCTTCATACTGATTTCCATAGAGGTTGTACAAATTTACATCCCTACTAACTGATTTTTTTAAATATGAAAGAATGATCTAGAGAATGTGCCCCTCCTTAATATCCCCCTTTTACCTATCTACTGCAGAGTGACTTCAGGAGGTACAGGTATTTACCAGTTTTATTATACAGACAAATTGAATATTGAAATCTCTGGATCAGAGGCACAGATTTTCGGATTCAGAGTTGTATGAACAAGGACAAGTGCTCTAGGGACTTGTAAAGCTGGAATTGGAAATCTCAGATGAAATACATTTCTAGTAGTACCACCAACATATATTCTACTGAACTGGCTTTGTGATCATATTACTACCTACTTTTTAAAACTGATGAAAAGGGTTTATATCAAATATACTTTAAGGTTATAGAAAGCAAATGATTTACAGGTAAAGCTGTTTTCTTTAGCATTTTAATTTCAAAACATAAAATAGCTACCATTTATTGGGTATTTATACTGTACCAGACACTGTATTTGTCATATTTCAAAAATTTTCTCGTGGTGATGTTCACAATGATTCTGTAGGGTGAGAAACAGTCTTACTGTAGTAAGACTCTTAAATAAGCGAAACCTCTGAACCTTGGAGTTTAACTTGCGCAAGGTTAGTAACAGGACTAGGACTTGAACCTGAACCATCACACTCCAGATGTCTCCATACCACACTGCTAGCATGTGTACCTGTCATCTTATTCCTGGCTCCTGTTGTTTGCCTTTTTATTTCCTTTCCCTTCCTCCCACAACCTCTTTTTCCCCCATTTCTTTTCCTTCTTCTTCATTGTTAACTACATAACTAATACATGCTTATCAGAACAATTCATATAGCACAAAAGGATATAAAGTAAGGAGACTGGGTGAGTGATAGCTCGTTCCTGTAATCCTAGCACTTTGGAAGGCCAAGGCAGGTGGATCACTTGAGTCCAGAGTTCGAGACCAGCCTGGGCAACATGGCGAGACCCTGTCTCTACAAAAAAAATACAGAAATTTAGCCAGGCGTGGTGGCACACACCTGTAGTCTCAGCTACTCTGGGAGGTGAGGTGGGAAGATTGATTGAGCCCAGGAGGTGGAGGCTGCAGCAGTGTGCCAGGATTGCACCATTGCACTCCAGCCTGGGTAAGAGAGGGACCCTGTCTCCAAAAAAAAAAAAAAAAAAGTAGCCTTTATCTAGGCTATTAACATATACTGTTGTGTTACCTGCCTTTTAGGTATATATCTATGTATATGTGTGCATGTGTGTGTGTATATAGATATGTGTGTGTATATATATGTATGTGTGTATGTGTATTTTTGACAGCTGCATGATGTGTTCCATACTACAGATGAACTTTAATTTGTGAAGCCATTCTCTATTGATTATTCTGTTTACTTTGGCATCTTTCTCTCTTTGTTGCTATTTATATAACTTTGCTTAATGAGCATCTGGTGTTTGCCTTACCTACACTAATTGAGATGATTGAAGTGTATCTATCTAGTTTCAGTTTTCAAAAAGCAATAGTTATGTTTTTTTCTGTGACATTGAACAGTATTTTATTGAGTGATTTCTTGAAGAGTATTTTGTTTCTACAACTTGAGATCTTGTGAGTCTTTTCTAAACTTTTTGAAAAATCTGTCATCCTTTCTCAGTTGTCAACAGATTATATTTTATATGTCAGTACTGATTAAGGATTAACTATTTCAATCAAATGTTTTTAATTAACATGTAAAGACAATTTAATAGTAGATTTTTCATAGGTGTTTAGACTGTAAAATCTTGTGTATGTTAAATGCATATAGTGAAAAAATTTGAACCACAAACTGTCAACAAGTAATTTGTAATTTTTCCAATAGAGCATTAAGGTAACTAACATAATTCCTGATGTCATAAAGAATAAAAAATACCATATCTAGCTAGCAAGAGTGTCTCTTACAAAGCAAGAAGAAAACCTACCCCTATGTGATCTCTTACTCTAAGCAGGTGTGAATAAAAGAGGGATACTGTGGCAAAGTGGAAAAGCATAAGCTCCTTCTAATCCCTTCCTGCCATTTCCTAGCAGTGAAACCCTGTTTTACCTTTGCTCATACACAGTATGAATAGTAAAACCTCTGTGACAATATTCCTGTACAAACAAAAGACGATTAATGTATCCACAACACCCAGAGTGGGTCTCAACAAACGGTGGCTGCTATCGTGTTGCTGCCAAAGCTGCTACTCTGGCTTATGAGTTTTTAACTTGTTTTCTCTGTTTCTTTTTAGAGAAATAGCTTAGAGAAGTGATTTTTTTTTCATAGTTTGTAATTGAATGAGAAAATAAAATGAGTTTTTTTGGATTCCAGCACTGATTGACCATGTTGACATAATTAAAACTTTCAAATCCTTGTTCACTGACTGTGATAGAGTAATAATTTAGTTAAATCACAAGAGCCAACCTGTCCTATTATGTTTAGAAGTGAATATACCTCCTGCCAGCTGTCCCTCCTTCTCTGCCATTCTGTAGAGTTAACTCTTTTCCCCACTGACTCCACACTGCACTTCCAACACTGGGGACCTCTCTATTCAGATCTTACTTTACTTCTTGGCAGCATTCAGCATCGTTGGACCTTAACACCCTTTTCTCCTGACTTCTATGACATCATACCCTTCTGGGTTTCATGCTGCTTTCATGACCATTCCTTTTCTGGCCCTTTTCTCACTGCTCCGATCCTACTGATCTCCCATTCAGACCAGTCTCCCATACTGTTCTGGCTAGTTTTCAAATATGTTGGCAATACTTATTTTGGAAGATGTTATGTATTCCTACCTCAGGGTCTTAACACTGACCTTTTCCTCCGCCTGTCTTTTTGTTCCCTTTTTGCTCATGTCTCACCTTTTGAATGATGCTTATCCTGACCCCTGTTTAATTTCACTACCGTAGCCACACTCCTGTGCCACGCTCTAGTTTTTCGTTCATAGCACTTACCACCTTCTAATGTGCTACGTTATTTATTTTGTTTGCACTTGTCTTCTCTGCTAGAAGCTCCCTGAAGACAAAGATCTGTTTTTCCCACAGATATACCAAGCATAGGACTAGGCACACAGTTGGCATTGTTGAAGTCACAGAGTCTATCTGGGGGGTGTGTGTGTGTGTGTAAGTTGCCTCATTCACTTCCAAGCCTCTTTGTACACCGTATGCCAGTCAGCCATAAATCTTCATCTCCACCTCTTTCTCCATTTCATCTCCACAGTCACTGACTTTTCATATAGTGTCTAATATATACAGTCAGAAAAAACAACTTTGCCGCCTTTGCAGTCATCCTCAGTTTTTCTCTTTCCTTCACTTAACAATACCCCACCTCCCCTCCAGTCTATCATCAGTGAGCCCCGTTGACACTTCCTTCCCTCCAAAACGTATCCCCAATCTGCTCACTTCTCTCCATCTCTGCCACACCTCCCGTCTTTGCCACCATCATCTTTCACTCAGACAACTGTGGCAGCCTCTTTGCTTTTCTCCTGCTTGTCCACCCTTGACCCTTTACAATCCATTCTCCACACTGGCTAGATTCATTTTCTTAAAGTATAAAAATGTAATTCAGATCCTGTCAGTGTCTTCCAGTGGCTTTCCATAGCACTTAGAATAAAATTCAAAGTTCATTATCTGACTTATAAATCTAACCCTAGTTGACTTTTCTACTTCTACAACTGTTTTCCTCTCATCCTACCATACTCTAGTCACAGAGGCCTTCTTTCATCTCTTTCAGATATGCCAGGCTTAGAGCCTTTAAACTAACTGTCCACTCTCTCTATCCGGATTTCTTTTCCCCTTTTTGTGACATTAAGTCAGTGCTTAACTGTTTCTCCCTCGGGGCTTTTCCTGACAATCCATTCACTGAGTCATTGAACCTGTCTTAGTTCTTTGCATAACCCTTTTCCACTATCTCATGTAGTCTTTTGTTTATTGAGTTTCATCCCCCATGAGAATGTATGCTCCATGAAAGCATAGACCTTTTTACTGCTGTTGTGTGTAATACGTAGAACAGTGTCTGGTTCATAGTTAATGCTTAGTAGATATTTGTGGAATGAATGATTGTGTGAATGAACAAAGGGAGCAGATTTTTTTTAATTACAAATTTTGTAATACTTAAGTTATTAACTATCTGATTAACAATATCCTTAGGCAGAGTTGGAAAAAAATGAGTTTTGATTTTGGGGAAGGGAACACTAAGAAATATTTATTTTTCTATCTTTTAGCAGAATGCAGGAATAGTTACACGCCATCCCCATTTTTTTATTTACGTAGTGAATATTTTTAAAAATTTTTGTATAAGACCATTATTCAGCAGCAAAATTATTTCATGTATGGCTTTGTTTTTTGTTTTTGTAGCAAGACATGACAGATTTTCTTATAGTCCAAACATTGTCTATAGCAAAAGACAGCTTGAATGCCAAAATAATGTTTAATTAGATCTATTCATTATCTTGCCACATGCTAAGTAGGTGCTAAGGATTTATCACTGCAGTAGAAGTCACTGGATCTGTACATTTATTTTATGGAAATATGATTTAAAATTTACAATTCTTTTTTGTAAGACAGTAACAAATTATTATGTAAAACTTACACCTCTGCCCAAGACTCTTGCAAATGTTTGCTCCTAATTTTGTAGAGATCTTCCTAACGATTGAATATTTAAAATTCAAAAGGTTTTTTTTCTTTTTTGGAAAAATGCCTTCTGTAGATATATCTGGGTGAGAAAGCAATAAAATATAAATTAAAATATTTTATCAGCAACATCTAGTGTCAGTACTTCATGACTGTCAGTGTGTTGTACTAAAAAGTGTCATTGGTTTGCCCCAAAGAACGAAGTGGTGGCAGTGATAGCAGCATCTCTTTCTAACTTGTGGTTTATTTCTCATTTTCAAGATCCTGTTGCCACTGGTTTTTCTTCCCAGTGGTTGGTTAAAATTCAGAGTTGTTTCATGAATACATGACAGTGTGATCTTAGGAGCTTGCAGTTGCTCAGAAGCCAACCACACTTAGAAAGTTTGATGTAAACATTTGTACTGCAAGATGCTCTTTGTTGAGATACCAAGTCCCAGCAAAAAGTAGCATTAAACCTGATGACCACAGATACCATGGAGGAAAAGCACATTCTAAGACCTGAGCTTTTTTTCTGAAGCTGTATGTAACTGATTCTATATTTTATTCTCTAAGTTAGGTGAAATCTCAAACTTTTTGAAGAGTCACTAAAAGAGAATGAAATCATGTCATTTGCATCAACATGGATGGAACTGGAGGTCATTAAGTGAAATAAGCCAGGAACGGAAAGACAAATAGCACATGTTTGCATTCTTAAGTGGAAGCTAAAAAAATGAATATCATGGAGGTCGACAGTAGAATGATGACAGTATAGGGGGAAGGGGAGCTGAAGAAAGGTTAGTTAGTGGGTACAAACATACAGTTAGATGGAAGGAAGAAGCTCAAATGTTAGATAGCAGAGTAGGGTGACCATAGTTAGCAACAATGTATTAAATGCATTTCAGAATAGCTAGAAGAGAGGACCTAAAATGTTCCCAACACAGAAAAATGATTAGTACTTGAGGTGATGGATCCCCCCAAATAACCTGAGTTGATCATTATAGTTTTCATGCGGCAACAAAAGTATCACCTGTCCCCCTTAAATATGCATAAATATTATGTACCAATAAAAAAATTTTAAACATTAAAAAAATTTTTTTTAATCCTTTATCCTTCCAGCTGAATAGATTTCATTTTCATTCTTCCTGAGAATAGAAGATTTAATGGAAGTTCCAGTATCTGTATGCAGGCCTATGACTAGCTTCACTTCTTGGTGACTAATACTAGTTGACAAAACAGCATATTCTAAACTAATTGTCTTCATTATCCAGTAGCTTTCCTATTCCTCATAACAAATGTTCCAGATCTTTGATTACTCACCTCAGAATGCTTGTCTCACTCCTCTTTTCCTCATTCCTCGCAGATCATACCTTGGAGAAGAAAATAGAAACTGTCAGCCATGAATTTCATTAGCTTTTTCTTCCTCTTCAATCCAAATCTGTCTGTATCTTCATTCATTTTTCTTAACCCTTTCCTTGCTTGCTATTTCTGCTTTCCAAAACCAAGGAAGGAATTTTGACAGAAGTGTCCAAGGAATTCATTGGGGGAGAATGAATGATTCAGTAAATGATGTTATGATAATTAGATAGATAGCTATATGTAAGCATAAAAAATTTTTAAAAACCTTAGGCCCTTGTAATCATATGCACAAAAATTAAGTGGATTATTGATTTAAATGTAAAAACAAAAAGTATAAAACTTTTAGAAAAAAGATTGTTTGTGACATTGGGTCTGGCAAACATTTCTTAGATGTAATTAAAGATTTATAAAAGAAAAAATTAGTAAACTAGACTTCATCAAAATTTAGAAATTTTGCTTTATCTGTATAGGACACTGAAGAGAATGAAAAGACAAGTCACAGACTGGGATAACATATAGGCAAATCACATATTTGTCAAATAACTCATAGCCAGAATATATAAAGAACTTTTACAACTCAATAATAAAAAGACAAACAGCTCAATTTTTTAAATGGGGGAAAATTTTAAATATATTTCACAAGAGAATATACTCAAATAGCCAGTGAGCACATGAAAAGATGTTCAGCATCATTAAACATTAGCAGACTGCAAATTAAAACCACACTGAGGAACCCACTAGAATGGCTATAATCAAAGACTGTCAATATCAAGTATTGCAGAGGATGTGGAAAAACTCAAACTCTGTTACACTGGTAATAGAAATATAAAATGTCACAACCACTTTGGGAAGAGATTGGCAGTTTCTGGAAAAAATTAATTGTAAATTTGACCAAGCAATTCTACTACTTAAGTATCTTAAGAAGAATGAAAACATGTCCACACAAAGATTTGTACTAAAATGTTGATAGCGTTATTCATAATCACCTAACAGTGCAAATGTCTGTCAACTACTGTGAATGGATAGACAAAATGTGCTATCAATACAGTAAAACTACCCAGCAATAAAAAAAAAAACAATTGACTGATAAATGGTATACGATGACCGAATTTTAAAACCGTGATGCTAAGAAGCCAGACACAGAGACTACACATTGTATAACTCCATTTTTGTGAATTTCCCAGAAAGGCAGATTATAGAGACAAAACAAATCAGCGGTTGCCTAGGGCTGGTGGTGGATGTGGAGATTGACTGTAAATGGGACATGAGGGAATTTTTTTGTGGTGGTAGAAATATTATAAACCTGGATGTGGTAATAGTTGCACAACTCTGTAAATTCACTAAAAGTCACTGAACAATACACTTAACCATAGGTGGGTTTAATGAAATGTGAATTATACTGCAATAAAACTAAATAAAAGCTGAGTTAGTACCACTTGCCTCGGGTTCATTACTTTTCATTCTTAATTATTCCCTTCACAGTTACTCCCCACTCTTCCCCTACCTCTTTCCATATTTCTTTACTATTGAAAATTATTTTCAGTAGTTTTGCCTCCTGAGTTCACTGCCTTTTAGATCACATTTAGACCATGGGTTTCTATCACCACAAAAAAATTCCAAAATCTGGGTCCAAATTTCAACTCTATTCACTTATCTGTGTGACACAGAATAAGCCTCTGAGTCTCTGTGTCCAGATTTGTTTACCAGGTAGAATATTAATAAAATCTATTACATGAGGATTTGTGAATATTAAATGAAACCATATATTTGAGACATTCTATAAGTGCTAGCTGTCATTCATCACCTTAAAACAAGACTCATAAGTTGAAAGGCTGTGAACTGGTGAGCATCTAGAGGAGTGGCTCTTAATCAGGGCAAACTCAAACTTTAGGGAGGTTTTACAGACTGGCTCCACTGACGGGTCAGGTTGAAAGGTTTCTGGACCCTGGGAAGTACATGTGTGTGTTTGTTCTCCAGCTTCGCAGATGATTCTGCTATAACCTAATGGTAAACAAAACAACAACAGATTGCAGTGCAAGACTCAGCCCATAGAATGTACAAACACCAATTGTGAACCCTAACAAACTGTGGTCTCTGGGTGATAACGATGTGATAATGATAATTGCCGTACAAGGCTCATGTATTCATTTCCAGTCTTGCTCCTCCCATTCCCTCCCTTTGGTTAGGTAGCAAATGGAAGGCAGACACATTTAAGTCATGAGCGAGATCCACCCATCTCATGTATGTACATGCAGTGGGACAAATGCACTAACACTGTATAAAGTCTTCAGAGGATACTCAGTTGTCATAGAAATAAGTTATATCTTTGGTTGAGTTTTTAAACATTCATTCTCACTGGGGTAGTATTTGGGAAACATTATATCAGGTTTTACTGGTAGAGAAAGGGTAAATCAGTAAGTTAAAGAATAAGTGATATATAAGGATTTAAAAAAGAAGGCCTCAGGTTTAAGGGATATATGTAATTACAAGATGATCTCAATTTTAAATCAGAACACTGAAGTTGGATGGATGGGAGACAGGAAATGCATGTTCGAGAGCAATTTAGTGATAGGGAGGAATTCATACAGTGAATTTGAAATGAGTAAGTACTATGCCAGTGTGACTGGAATTACTGCCTCTTTACCTGTCTTCATTTACTTGTTTTTGTATCTATCTGTTTCTTAGAGTTGACTCCCTCACTCTTCTATTTTCCAGGGTCTAGAACACTTCTTGCCATCTGCTCCCAGATTCCATCTCAGAATAATTAGTTTTTATCTCTTTCTTTCTTCCCAGTGTTGACAGCCGTCACTTTCTAGTATTCGCATTGTCAATACCACAAGGTCTCCAGTCTCCACACCACCAGTTCCCAGGTCCTCCACTGTGCCACATCTCAGCCTTGACCTGGCTGTTTCTTCCTCTTTCTCTCTCCTGTCTAGTCTAGATCCTTAGTATTCATCTGGGCATTTCAGAAAGTTCACCCCTCTCATAAAGAACTTGCTAATTGCCTTCCTTAGAATGCTTCATCTCTTTCCTGTAAGTTCTCTAGGACACTAAAGCAACTGTCTTTTACTGTAATACTTAGATTAGTTACATGTACTCTTGCCTGGTCATTCCTATTAGTTGAACTCTTTAAAAGCAGAGATAGTTGTACTCATTTTTGTTCCCATTGTGCATTGCAGTGTACTGTAACTCATATATAACATGTTCTCAAATAATAGTTATAGATCACAGTTAGATTTTTTATTTATTTCTTTTTAGTGAAGAGTTTTCACTTTCTCATTTAGGAATCATAGAGCTTTCTTTGAGTACTGTAGGTAACTTATTCTTCCCACAGAACTACCCCCCCATACATACAGTACTTAGAGACAGAAAACATACGCGTATTGACACATTTTAATTTTTGCGACCTTTTGATAACCTTGTCTCAGGAAGGGCCTTATCTTAGCTGTTCCCATGGGATGCCTATCTCCTATGTCTTCTTGCCTTCCCACACCCTACATGTCAGGAGGCAGGAGGGTAGAGGACTGTGAGGCTACTGTTCTCAAAAATGAGACATTTCTATAGAAGGGTGATTTACAATAGGGAAGTAATAAGAGGTGACCAGGAAGGCTTGGGAAGAAGGGAAAAGCTCTGATTAGCATATGGGCCCATTTAAAGATGGGTCAGCCCCATTCTGTCAGTGACTTGCTATCCTGAGCGGGGTGCATGTCAAGTGTTCAGACACTTCCTATTTTTGCTCATCTACCCGAGGTGAAAGTGGGAAGTAGATGTGAAAGAGTCGTCTAGCTGGTTTTAGTGGGGCTGTACTAGATCTAGATTTATGGAGGAAGATTAAAATGGAGCAGAGGAAAAAACTTCTTGACCATATTTTCATCATCCCAAACTAATGGCCTTTGCAGCAATTTACTTAACAAACTAGGTGAATTATGTATTTGATGGCATAAATATGCATACACAGAATATTTGGTTTTTGTGGCATTTTTGTAAAACCGTTTCTCAAAAATACAACATTCTTTAAAGACTTTTTTATAGGTTTATCAGTATTTGTGTGACGTATAATTTATAACTCAATTATTTAATATGTAAACAACAGATAAAAATCCTATCACCATAGTTTGAAGATAGCAAACATTTTAATAAATACATTGAACATTTCAGTTTATTAGTCTTCATTAATGTTTCCAAAGGAGAAATTAAAATACCACTGCATAGTTTTCAGATTGTTTTACTTGGTGAACAGGCAAGAGGACAGAATAAGAGATTGAAAAGTGAAATAAGGGTAGTTTATAGTTTGTTTAATTTATCAATGGTCCTATTTACATTTTGGGATCACATCTTGGACGTTTTGCAACTTCCAATTCATTCTAGCATTTTGGGATTCTTATGTTGACATAGTTAATTCTATATTGAAACCTAGGGACTTGTTATTTAATAAACTTGTAGAAATAATCATTTCCAGTTAAATGAACCACAAAAATTATGAGGTTAAAAACAAATCAGTTATCATTTAGTAGTTCTGTATTGTCAGTTAATGATCTTTATTAAATTTGCAGCTTTCTGAGTTTATTTGGAAGTAGGTCATCACATGCTGAGATGAAATACCAAGTCATTTAAATTAGATACTGAGCATGCTCATATGAAGTACTTACTCTTGGAGACTGCGGTGTGGTTCAGTTTTCTTATAGTGGAAAGAGCAGAAAAGAGATCACGGTGTGCCCCTTTGTCATCATTCTGTCAGAAAGCATGTAATTTGTCTTTAGAAACCAGAAGCCTGAGACAAAGAAAAGAACGCAGATTTTTAGCAAAAGGCTATTTGGTGAGTTAATTGGCTGTTTTCTTCTATTTTGCTCTAATCGGTCAGTTATTCCTAGCTAGTCTAGGTCTTTACTTGTATCTGCTGCTTTTTTGTACTGTGCTGAAGCTTTATGTAGCAAGTAACTTAGCTGAGATTGGGAGAAAATTGTTTCTGCAGTCTAAATCTTATTCTTCTGAAATATTTCCAGTACATTTCTGAGGTGACAAGTTCATCAATTGCTATGATGATACTTTCTCATGTTCTCCACAAATTTTCTTTGCTCACTTGTGCTGAATAATGCTGGCAGAATTATGTGCCGAGATACTTCAGGATTTGTCCTTTTGGACAGTTTAGCGTTTTTGTTCTTACATCTTAATGAAATTACAGTTTTTGCTTTCACATTTCTATACTGTATCTACCAAAGTAATAGGTAAGAAAGATCAAAAATTCTTTAAAGAAAATGAGAGGGTGTATTACAGTAATATGTATACATATTATTAAAAAGGTGGTTCAAAAATGAAAGTTTGCTTTGTAATACAGTTGATCATTTAAACTATCCTAAAATGAAATGAAATTGACAACATTTTGTAAAATATAAGGTGTTACAGTTATTCTGTATTCTTATTTAGAATTCTATCTTAATTTATTGAATTAGCTACATAAATGTTGCATGATAATAGTTTTGCCAGTTTAGGCTGTTACTTTCTCTGAGCTCATATTATCAATGAGTGATCAATAGGAAGATAATCTTATTTAAATGTTTTGTGATTTTTAAAAAAACCGAAGTGTTCATGTTTTACCATGAAGTAAAAGGGGGATATTTTTGTGCATTTTCTCCATATTATGCTCTTATAATGTTATATAATATTTAAAATCTATACATTGTTATATCATGATGAACACAATTTTGATTATGTATTTATAATCGGTAAACTTGGCAACCAAATATTCAGAGTCTTCTCCTGGAGATTAAAATAACATTACTTTGCTGAAGGTACAACATTATATTTTTTGAAGATTTGAAGAAAAAGCATAAAATTACCTTATTTATTTCCTTCAGGGAAAATCATGTTTGTTAGTACACATAAATGTCAGGTAGGGAATTTGAGACATATAAGGTGCTTTAAAGAGGTCTAGAAAAATGATGTGGGGGGTGGGAACAATAGGAAGAGACTACTGAAAGCTTAGTACCTTTAAATGCCAGGCAATTATGTGAGGCTTTCCTGAAATATCTTCATTTTGTGAACTTCCCCCACTATGCCATTTTCCAGGATTGGCACTTGTGAAGGAGGTGGGCGTATACTTAAGCTTATATATTCATGAAAAGGGAAGGTTAGCGTTTAGAGATGAGGACTGGGTGACAGGACTCAAGAAATCTATTCCCACTTCTTTATACTGACTGACTTGTTTGACCTTGCACATGATGCCTACCTTATTTATTTCTACCTACTTTTAGTATAATACTTTACCATGGCGATAAAGTGGTTCATTTATAGTTTCTGAAGTAATAAAATTATTTCACAGACTGTGACAAAGATTCATAAGGGGATAAGTCATTCACTAATAGCCATTGTGGGAAGAAAACAAACAAGTATTGCTTTTCCAAATTCTATTAAATTTTTTTAACTGAAATATCTCAAGTGCATAAAATCTATAAAGTCCTCTGTAGTCTTTGAAGCTAATCTCAGAAATACATATTCCATGTGTATTATGTAATGGTGACAGATGTGGTTTTAACTTCTTTCTCCCATATTCACTGCAGACTGGATGATCACAAAATTTTCATGGCAAGATTATACTGTTATATTATTTTATACTATTTTCTCTTATTTATTTAGTCCCAGATACTCTAATCATAAATCTTCATAGATCCATAGAAGAGAAATAATGAATAGGAGATCTGTTAAAGAAATGTGTGGAGAAATACTGGGAAAATGTAAGAAGAATACAGAAAGAAAAATTACCGATGACAAGGATCTCTTTGCCAGGTTTCTAGATATTAAGCATATACCTATATATCTTATTCATTTCCAAATCATTAAATTGATCTACTCATTTAACTTAACATCTACCCATTAAGGAACACTTATTTCCTTATTTTTGATGAATCTCAATAGTGCTTAAAGATCCTAAGTAGTGGTAGATGAAAATGGATTTTGTGGTCAAGTACGTTTGGCGAATAACAGACCATAAAGGACTGTTCATAGCAGAACTTCTTACCCTTTAATATCTTATTCAGAACCTCACCCTGGAACTTAATGTTTTCTGGTGTATGGTTTACTTTTGAAAGGAAGAACTGTAATACATAATATTAAACATTTGGCAAGCATTTCAGTAATTTTAACTATGAATTTCTATATTAAAATATCTGGATAAATAGAGGAAAAATTGTCAGTTTGCTTTTTATCTTCTATTTTGTAATCTTAGAATTACAGGGTGATGAGATGTAAAATGTATAATTAGTAGATAAGTTGAGTGTCATAGATATGTAAGTTAAAATGGCATTTTTGAAAGCCACTAGGAGTGTACATTACACTAGGAGTGTAGGCAATGAATACAACATGAAAGATTTACAATAAAATAGTAACTGAGTAAAGATTTTGATAATTCTCACAAGTTTCCACTCATTCTCTTAAAGAACCTAGCATGGTGTTAGTCACAAAGTAGGCATTCAATAAATGTTTATCTAGGCAGGTGCGGTAGCTCACGCCTGTAATCCTAGCACTTTGGGAGGCCAAGGTAGGTGGATCACCTGAGGTCAAGAGTTCGAGACCAGCCTGGCCAACATGGTGAAACCCTGTCTCTACTAAAAAATACAAAAATTAGCTGTGTGTAGTGGCAGGTGCCTGTACTCCCAGCTATTCAGGAAGCTGAGGAGGAGAATCGCTTGAACCCAGGAGTCGGAGGTTGCAGTGAGCCGCTATCATGCCATTTGCACCCCAGCCTGGGCAATAGGCAAAAACTCTTGTCTCAAAAAAAAAAAAAATTTATCTTTTCACTTGAATTTAAACCTTCTGCCTCTTCATTGAAACACACCATAGTCATGGAAGTAGAATACCTATTGTCGGTTCCACTGGCCCACCCACCTACTTTAGGGGACTTTTTCTTAAATTGTATTTTGAAATACTGATAGTTGGATTCAGTTTCCAACTAAACTTTCATTTTTTGGCACTCCAGTGAAATTTGAAACCTAATTTTTAAATAGCAGTTTTCTTTGCTGTAACCTAATGACTGTACATGTTCTTAAATCCTTGTTTATTACAAAAAGAGAGGATACAAATATTAATACATCTAGGGGCAAGACCTCCTGTTCTTAGCTACTTAAGAGCCTGAGTTGGGCCGGTTTCTTGATCCCAGGGTACTCTGCAGATCGAATGTTGGCCTCAAATATTTGACATCAATATGATTGTCCCTGAGAATGAAGATAGATCGAGTTTCCATTAAGCTTAGTATAGAATTGATGTTTTGGTAGTTTAGTAGCCATATTTATCTCAAAATAAAGTATGAGAAATAAAATATGCAATTCAGAGAGAAATAGTGAAAAATATGAGGGGACTTCAAAAATTTATGGAAAATGGATATTGTGATAAAACTATGCATGGATTTCATAAATTTTTTTTATACCAAAATAAACTTTTGTGAACGTGTTGTAGCGTGTCTGAACAGGACCTAGTTTGAGGCACTAAGAGGGATAAGACATCAGTTTGAAAAGAACTCCTATCAGAGCGACATGAATTCTGCTAAAATTGAAGCAAGAATAAACATCATATTTATGGTGAAGCTTGGGTGGAAGAATGGTAAAAATCATCGACGATTCACAAAAAGTTTATGGGGACAACACTCCAAAGAAATCAGCAGTTTACAAATGGATAACTCATTTTAGGAAGGGACAAGACAATGTTAAAGATGAAGCTCGCACCAGCAGACCATCCACATCAGTTTTCAAGGAAAAAATAAATCTTGTTTATGCCCTAATTGAAGACTGACAGTTAACAGCAGAAATAGGAACCTCCACCACAGATAGTTTGATTGGTTCAGCGTACATGAATCTGACTGAAAAATTAGTTGAGCAAACTTTCCACTCAGTGAGTGCCAAAACTGTTGCACCCAGATTAGCTCAAGAATAGCAGAGCTTCCAGTGGAAATTTTAAACAAGTGGGATCAAGATCCTGAAGCATTTCTTTGAAGAATTGTAACAGAAGATGAAATATGGCTTTACCAGTATGGTCCTGAAAACAAAGTACAATCAAAGCAGTGGCTACCAAGAAGTGGAAGTGGTTTAGTCAAAGCAAAAGTGAACTGGTCACAAGCAAAGGTCACAGCAACAATTTTGAAAGATGCTCACAGCGTTTTGCTTGTTGTGACTTTCTCAGGGGCCAAGGAACAATAACATCTGCTTATTATGAGAATGTTTTGAGAAAGTTAGTCAAAGCCTTAGTAGAAATGTCTGGGAAATCATCTTCACAGAGTTCTCCACCACAGCAATGCTCTTGCTCATTCCTCTCATCAAACAAAGGAATTTTGTGAGAGTTTTTGTGGGAAGTCATGAGGCATCCATCTCATCATCCTGATTTGGCTTCTTCTGACTTCTTGTTTCCTAATGTTAAAAAATCTTTAAAGATTTTAAAGGATGTCCATTTGTATTCAGTTAATAATGTGAAAAAGACTACCTTGACATGGTTAAATTCTTAGGACTCTCAGTTATTTAGTGATGGACTAAATGGCTGGTATTCTCATTTATAAAAATGTTTTAACCTTAATGGAGTTTATGTTAAGGATTAGTTTATAATATTTATCTTTTTAGTTTCATTTTTCCACAAGTTTTTGAAGTCCCCTGGTATGTCTTAGTAAAATGCTACACATATTCAGAGATTTTTATTTCTGACATTTTTAAAAGTGTAAGTCCGAAATCTAGTTTGTAAAGGTAAAAGACTGTAAATCAAGAACAGAGGACCTGTGACTTATTAATACAAATGGAACTTCTCCCCCTAGCTGTCATTTAACATGAGTAATTTCCAGTG